ATCTCATGCACAGTTGTGAACAGATGAGTCCAACCAGAGGCTACCAGGAAGCCAGGAAGCTACTTCAGAAGCACTATGGTGATGAGCTGAAGATAGCCAGTGCCTATATGGAGAAAGCTTGGCAGTGGCCTCAGATCAGAAATGAAGATGGAAAAGCGTTGCACACGTATGCATTGTTCTTGATTGGATGTCGGAATACCATGGAAGATATTGAGTACATGGATGAAATGGATAATCCCACGAATATGCGAGTGGTCATCTCAAAGCTTCCGTATAAGATGAGAGAGAAGTGGCGAGGGAAGGCCTTCAATGTTCAAGAAAGACGAGCCAGGTTCACAGACTTGGTGGACTTCGTCGACAAGCAAGCCAAAGTTGCAATGGATCCGCTGTTTGGAGACATGCAGGACACCAACAGAGGTATTGCAGGAAAGGGAAAAGACAAGACTGCAGACATAAAGACCTATCGGAAGAGTGGCCTTAAAGGAAGCAGTTTTGCAATAAGCGTCATGTCTTCTGAAGAGGGGAAAGCACAAGACTCGCCTCAGAAAAATAGTCAAGACAAGCCTGCTATTGCCTTCCAGAAACCCTGCTTGTTCTGTGAGAAGAATCACACACTGGACTCTTGCATTAAGATCAGAGAACAGCCACAGAAAGACAGAATTGAGTTTCTGAAGAAAAAATGACTTTGCTTTGGATGTCTTATACAAGGGCACCTCAGCAAGGAGTGTATGAAAAGAATGACATGTCAAGAGTGTAACTTGAAGCATCCAAGCATGCTGCATGTCATTAAAGAAAATAGTGTCACCTCTAAAACGAATGAAGATGGCACCACTGAACAGAAGATAGCATCAAGTGCTATTGCATCCCTTAAGCATGAAATTTGTGGCTACACCGGGGCTGGAGACGGACATTTTATTCTCGCCATCGTTCCAGTGAAAATCAAATCCAAACGAAGTGCGAAGAGTGTGGAGACATACGCATTCATGGATCCAGCGAGTTCAGCGACGTTTTGTACTGAAACCCTGAGGAAACAACTCAACGTCAGAGGCAGGAAGGCTGAAATCCTTCCGCGAACCATGGGTCAGGAGAAGTTGGTATCCAGTTATATCCTGTCAGACCTGGAAGTGAGTGGACTTGAGGAGGGAGATTATATTGACCTGCCAAAGGTCTTCACCCACAGTGACATTCTAGTGAAGAAAGAAAACAAATCACTACATCATGATGTCAAGAGATGACCCTACCTGAGAGAAGTGCACCTCCCATGCATTGAGGCAGAGATAGGCCTGCTGATAGGAACTAATGCACACAAAGAAATGGAACCACGGAAGGTGATAAATAGTGAAGGTGATGGACCCTACGCAATCAAGACCACTCTTGGGTGGGTAGTGAACGGACCTATGAGAACAGGAGATGCCAATGGAAAATGGCAACATTTCACAGCAAACCGTATCTCCATCTCAAAACATTGAAGAACTCTTAGTCCAACAATACAACACAGACTTCTCAGAACGCTGTTGCGAGGTGATGTCACAAGACGACCATCAGTTAATGCAATCTGTGACAAGGTCAGCTGAGCTGGTCGATGGACACTATACCACTGGTTTGCCATTGAGAAGTGAGAAGATGGAAATTCTGAACAACCGCCATGTTGCAAGGCAGCGCATCAGCAGTCTCAAGAGAAGGCCAAGCAAGAACCCAGATTTCCAAGAGGACCACAAAGGCTTCACGAGAGACACTGCAAAGGGCTTTGCTGTGAAAGTGCCTAAAAGGCAGCTGGAACGAGAAGACGGAAGAGTGTGGTGTATTCCTCATCATGGGGTGTACCACCCGAAGAAAAAGAAGATTCGTGTAGTCTTCGACTGCACTGCAACATACCAAGGAACCTCATTGAATGAGCAGTTTCTCCAAAGACCCCATCTCACCAACACTCTCAATTGTGTGTTGACCAGATTTAGAAAGGAACTTTGGGGTATGATGGCAGACATCGAGTGGTGGCCCGATGGCGACCTGAGTCAAGCCACAGAGAAGTATAGAATGACTGCGCACCTGTTTGGAGCCACGTCATCACCCAGCTGTGCATCCTACGCACTAAGAACAGCCAAAGATGGAAGAACCGAATCAACACCAGAGGCGGTTGACACAGTACGCAGAAACTTATACAACGACGACTGCTTGAAGCCTGTGTCATCTGAAGATCGTGCTGTCACCCTGTCAAGAGATCTCCGAACTTTGTGTTCTATTGAGGGATCCAACTTGACAAAGTGGGTAAGCAACAGCAGAGTTGTCATACCGTCTATCACAGAAGAAAGAGCCACAAAGGTGGATAAGATGCTCGGACAAGAACATCAAGTGCTGCTCGAAGAGTCTACCTTTTGGACGGAGACCACTGCAGTGCTGAAGTACATAGATAATTAAACCAGTCGTTCCAAGACTTTAGTGGCAAACAGGATCGCTACAATCCGTGAGGCCACAGAACCGACCCATTGGAGGTATATCAATACCTTTTTAAACCCAGCAGCTTATGCTTCAAAAGGTTTGAAAGCTGATAACTTCATAAAAAGTGAAAAATTGATTCAGGAACCTAAATACCTATGGATGGCTCCAAGTGAATGGCCAGAACGACCAATTCAAATGAGTCAAAACTCAGATGATGATGAGATCAAGAAGTCGGTTACCGTCAATCTCCTCAATATCAAAGATAACTCTATTCCAGTGAACAGACTTGTCAATCACTACTCAAGTTGGTATCATCTGAAGAGAGCAATGGCATGGTTTTTCCAACTGAAAGTGATTCTGCTGCATTCAAGGAATCAAATAAAAGAGTATCGAGCTACGATCAGTCAGGCTAAAAGTAACCCCGAGAGGCAGAAGATACTTCTCAAGCAGTGCATGCAGAAACTTAAAGCAACACTGGAGAAGGAACTGCTTTCAGTGGAACATTGGACCCAGGCTGAGATCGACCTAATCCGCTTCAGCCAGAAGAATTATCAAGACCATGCCAGACTCCAAGAGTTCAGTCTGTCGTGTGTGTGTGCTAAAACAAAGTCCAGCACACTAGAGAGACCTATTATAAAGCTCTATCTGTTATAAGAAGCAGCATGAAAGTATACTGATAAGATAAAGAGAAGGCTCAAGAAAGTCAGTAAGTGGCAGAAATACAAGAAATTATTATTGTTATAAGTAAACATTATTATTTAGTTTGTGGCTCTTAAGGTTAAAGTTAAGAGTAATTGGTATGCTCCCTGCCTAGCCAATTAGGGGCTGGTAATGTAAGAGCCATGAGACAGAAAGTGTGTGTATTATTTCTGTATATAGATTTGATGTACATCCATCATACATTTGTTGACGGACTGGTTATATTTGATTTGGAATATCCCAAATGTGTAGAAACCCCCCTGTGGTTAGACGCTCCGTTGGTTGAACCCATGATGTCACTTCCGGTTTTTACAGGATAAACAGGGGGCTACGAGAATAGCCTATGGGGAGCGAGTGGATACAATCTTTTGACCGTGCGACGGGGTGACACAGTACGTGTGACGGGGTGATACAGTACGTGAACAGGCGAAGATATAACTTTAGAAAACGCTCGTTTTTGTGTTTGATTTAAGACACTTCAAACACGCGTCAGGCTTTCTGCTCCCACAAGTTAAGGCGTAGCTTCTTTTTTGGTACAAGAAAGCTGCACCTACACGGGTGTGAGGGATATGTTACTTACTGGTGATTAAGGAGGAGTGGGGGTTACTTACCGTGCATTGACAAATAATTATTAAACTAAAACAAAGCCTCAAAAACTAAAACCAAGAGTGGGATTGCAGGGGATAATTGCAGAATTATTATAATCAATACGTGTGTTTACCCAGAAAGCCTCAGTGAGTCTCAAAACCTTTTCAAGGAGTCTGTGACATACAGGGTGATGTTGCAATGTACAATTCCAATTTACTACTATGAGCCAAGAATGTCTGTGTCCCGCACGTGACATCACTCCATGTCGACCAGCCCCCCTCATTAATAATAACAGGTTACGTCCTCCACATGGGCCCCCCCCACCAATTAATAATGAGCGACTAACGTCACTCCGCATGGAGAATCCCCCCCCCCTCATTAATAATCATGAACAGGTGACGTCATCCAAATGGACACCCCCCCCCCCCGCCATTAATAATAATTAACAGGCGACGGCACTCCACATGGGGTGGGCGAGGCCCCTCCTCCCCCCTCCTCAGCGTCAACTTATAACCCTCACTATAAAGGCAGAACCCTCGCGTCACGCGATCTCCGTAATGCTGTTGAGACATAGAAGTAAAAAGGACGTCATGATGAACAAGGGATTATAACCTTTAAATGAAATGTCTGTGTCACCGCGACCTTACAAAATGCACACGAATGGATGCAATGAATATCACGCCGCAGTCTGCTTTTTGCTTGCAAGTTTCGAGATTTACTGCAATACACCAGTCCTTGGACAGGAAAAAGGCTAGTTGAGCAATAAGCAGACAATAACAATTCTGTTATATGTCTTTTTTTAGCTATGAGAGGAAATCAGGCAGGCTGCGATTTTAGAATGATTTCAGTAGGATCTGAAATTCCACGAGAAGTAAAGAGAAGAAATGTAAAAAAAAAATTAAGGTATTGTGACCCTACTGTTGAGTTCACAACACTCTGGACATGGCAGCAGTTGCTAGGATGGTGTCATCCATCATTCCCATTGCACTTGCCAACCAGCCGGCTCACTTGAGCTACAGCCAAGCCTGAGCCAAACTGTGACTAAGAATACTAAGTTAATGTAATAATCTACACAAAAGAATCTCCTTTTTCTCTGATGCAAAGTATGCTACAAACAAACACTGGGGCAATTGCAAGACAAAAACATCTACATAAAATCGGGTGCAATTAACAAGTATTACGGAATGAAAATGCACATGATCAGCAGGAACATGTAGAAATGACGCAGACCACGTTACACTAACGCTAGCCGTGACTTGGGGAGATGCGGCACTCACAGTGTAGTCATCGAGCGGCTCGATGGAGAGGGGACGGCCGTACTTGGGCAGCGAGTGCGACGAGCTGCTGTCGTTGAGCATCAAAGGCCTGGGCACGGTGCGCAACGAGAGGGGGGAAGAGGTCATGCAAGGCATAAGCAATGGGAAAAAATATGATCACACAATGCTGCATTTACAATGATTCATTTTTGTTATTATTACACTTGTTTAACTATAAGAGGTCCACAGAGTATCAAGATAATGTTTCAGGAGGGTCCTGCCAAAGTTTTTGCAGACAGGGCGGCATTGCTACCCAAGTGGGTAATTTGCAGGTACATTTTCAGATTGTATGTTTTTTTAGCTTTGGAAGGAAACCAGAGAACTCCAAAGAAACACATGCTGAAAAAGTGGAGAACATACAAAACTCCACACAGGACAGCACCCAAGTCAAGAATCGAACCCAGGACCTTCTTGCTGCAAAACACTAGTGTTAACACTGTGCCACCATCCTGCCACTGCTAACGCTCTTCTAACACCCTGAGCTCAAGTGTCAGCAATGGCAGAACTCACAGCTTCCGCTTGACCCCGATGACTCGATTTGACTGCACCAGGGAAACGAGGAATTGGATCAGCTGCACAGATTCACAAAGAAGAAAAAGTTAATAGGAGCACTCCCATGATTATCAAAGACCAAAATTATTGACTCATTTAGTACATTCCATATGCGCGACATTCTTATAGGTATGGATTATCACAATCGGTAATAGTATCACAGTAAGGGGGCAATGATTGCGATGTACAATCACAATTCAATAATTTGTTAATTATTTTCACAATTTAACTATTTTGGACCATGATGCCAGCACACATTTCCCACTTTTCAGATAACGTCACAGGATATTTAACGTCCACTGTGAAGCATACGGTAAAGTATATTATGGTCAATATACCCGCAGTAATGACCAGGGCGAATCCGCTGGACGTGAACTACAAACCTCGACAACAAGCGGTGAATGCGCGACCGCTGGGCCGTGTCACCATCCCGGGCTACAAGGGCTCCAGACTGGGCATGGGAATTGTGGTGAATCACTCCTCCATTAATTTGATCAATTGTTGCAATTCGAGGTAGTAATTTTTTTTTTACATTGCTGTGAATATAGCGACCACTGTTTGATAAACTTCTTTCACACCGTACATAACTAACCGCGCTAATCGGGGTAACATAAACCCTAGTGGCTGTAGGAGTGACATGAACCCTTTAGATACAATATACACGTGATTGAACTCTTGTTGTTCCCAGCCAATAATATTCACAATAGAATTTACGAGTGGCCATGTAATAATTATCGGACTAAATCGGTGTCATTAAGGACCCTCCACCACCTAAACCATAGCCAAACAAATGTCACTTGGTATACAAGCATTTAAGGCACCAGTTATAATGGTTTCACCTCACCGGTGAGTTGAAGTCTGGCACGTGAACTGCTTGTACACATGATCATTTCATTCATTTAATTTGTTTGGCTGTTGGATTTTACCACATTACAATGATAATTGGTACAAAATATATGTATTATTGTAGCTGCACCCAGCCCTGTTGTGTGAGACACCTCAGGTCCTCACCTTATTAACCACCTTCTGCTGTTGCGCATGCTTCTGGCGCAGAGAGGCAACTTCTCTCCAGAGAGCCTCATTCTCCCTGACACAGAACACACACAATATGCACATAACGTGAGCAAAGTCAAATTATGGGATTCTTTAAAGTCGCCAATTACATGGTGGCACAGTGGTAACATTTCTGTCTAACACCAATAAGGTCTTGGGTTCGATTCCTGACCCAGATGCCTTTCTGTGTGGAGCTTGTATGTTCTTCCTCTATAGTGCATGGATCATCTCCAGGTTCTCTGGTTACTTCCCATAGCTAAAAATAAAAACATACATTGTAACCAGTCCATAATAGAGGTGTTTGGGTTAGATCGCGTAAATATATAAATGTGTCGTTAAAACCCGACACAGCCAACTAGTAAGGGTTGTCACGTAAATAGAACATGCTAATTCGTTACTAGTACAGCACACTGGTGTGTTGGAGAGCCAAGCCACAACATTTACAATCTGAGTATGATGTTTCACCTGTAATTACAACTAGCTTCATCAGGCAGGAATTCATGTCTTTGGGTCTTTCGGTTAAGTCACGTTATTTTTTTTGTTATTTTCTTGGAACCAATCTAGGTGACTTTACCGAAAGACCCAAAGAATATTGTGAAGTCTTACTGTTTCGTTCCTTATATAGAGGCATAGATGTGGTGACCACGCTTCTGCGCTCTTGCACAATGTGGAGGGGGGGATAAACTGAAGCAACGTACATTATGCGAGCCCTTTCAACTTGTCCTTCCTGTCTATTGTGTTTACTAAAATAGCCTGACCAACGGTAATCCCTATTGAAGTACGCTGCCTTTGGTAGGCATGTATTTAACTAATGCATCATTTGATTATTCTTTTCCACGCAGCACTAAAGCGGTAGCTATCTGATCGGCTCAAGTTATTTTGATTTATTTCAATTTCGATAGATTCTCTAATTAGTCTTGGCCAGTAGCAGCTAGTTTTGCACAAAACTTCAACATTATCAAAATCAATTCAGTGTCCTTGTTGGCACGCGTGTTCTGCTACTGCTGACAGTTGTATTTGAGAAAATGTAATATTTCTCTGATGTTCTTTTAGTCTCGTGCTGATCATTCGTCCTGTTTGTCCACCATAACATTTACCACACGTGCAGTTAATCCTGTTTCCCACCTTCAGCAGCCCAGGATGTGGGGGCACTCGACGAGTAATTGAGCATAAAAATGTTGTCAATTACAATTATTAGTCGATTAATCGACTAATCAACACCTCAACTCTACGCTGTACATTACTTTTTTTTTATTATAAGTATATGGAGAGAAACTCTGCAGCCTATTTATTAAGTTATTTTCTATACTCTTTGGTTCTTTCGGTAAAGTCACGTAGGAGTATGGATTCCTGCAGTCACGAAAGCATCAAATCAAGTTATTTTCTGTAATTTACTTGATTGCTCACATTTATGACACTTGTTTAACCAGGAAGCCTCAAGACTCTTTACCCAAATCGTCCTGCATGTTTTAAAAGGAGGGGGTGATGTTGCTATGTATGATCCCAATTTAGTAATTTGCAGGTAATTTTTCAGCACTGGTATGTTGGACCAATACCAGTTACATTGTATTGTTCTTTAGCTATGGGAGGAAACTAAACCCAGAGGAAACCCATGTGCAGTGCTCACTAACTGACCAAGGACAGAATTAGAATCCACCCCCTCCTGTGCTGCAATGCAAAACCTGATTCCTTCCACTACAACTTTCCATTCATGAGGTCCAACTTTGCTACAACACTGTCACATCCACTCATCTCGTCTGGAACCATATCCAGCTTCTGGTAACGTTTGCATTTTCCCCCACATGTTACTGTACTGCAAATGAATAATATAACAGATGATATGTTCTTATTACTGTTATTATGATTACAGGCAGTCCCCGGGTTAGGCAAGGGTTAGGTTCCCGAGAATTATCCGTAACCCGATTTTCCGAATGTCTCCATACTGTATCGCGCGTGGTTAGCAGGCAAGGGGTGGAAACTCTGAGGAGGTGCACTGGGCCGTCCGTAATGCAGAGTTGTGCATGGGAGAATAAGGGGGGAGATGGTCCAACTCTGGGAGAGTAGGGGAGGTGTATGACCCCCCAAAGCGTCTGTGTGGGCCTCGGGAAAGTGTTAGGAACACTGTGTGATTAGATGAGTGGGTGTTTTTTTTATTTTGTTGGTTTTATTTTCTTTGTGGTAGCCTGCTACAAGCTATAGATCCTCTGCTTGGGGTGGTTGGGTGTCTTGCTCATGTAGGAATAAAAGCTGACATCCCTAACAGCCAGGTCTGAGTGTTCCAACACCAGCTCGAACCAACACACCCCAACCGTCCGCCCTGGTGGAAAGACAACGTGATAACTGTTTAAGCTGCTTTGGCTGCATGCCAGCGTGTCTGTGGTTTCCCACACCTCTGAATCATTCTCTCCCAAAATAGTCCCACTTGAAAAAAGTCCAACTGTACAAAAGAGCCACACTGTACAAAAAAGTCCCAATATTTAAAACAATCCCACTGTTTAGTACAGAAACTTGACATGCAATCGCAATAAGACCCAATACAAATCCCTATTCTATTGCACTCTTTTATTATGTACATGAAATTAGTTTCTGCACCACAACACTGAAAATCATGTATGTCTACTGCAAATTGTACATTTCATGCCATTGAGTATCTTGGTGGTAAATATGGCAAATTTTGGCCATGACATCGGGACACAATTGTCGACTATTTTCGAATGGCATCAGGGGACCTTCAATGTCTACTACGAAGCAGACGATGTGCATTTTTTGGGTTATTCACCTGTACGTATGTTGAACTTCTTTCTCACCATACATAGCCAACCATGATATTTGTAGGTGCAGTATTAACAAAGGCAGCCCTGCCTGATGCGAACCACTAACCTAAACAACAAGGATTAATGTGCTTCTGATAGGCCTCGTCACTGCCCAAACATCAATGGAAAGGAAGGCAGGAACTCACATTTTCATGGTGTTGAGTCGGTTGTCCATATTCTCTTGCCTCCCGCGAATCTGCTGGACATCACTTATGATCCTGCCCATGTCTCCCTGCTGCACACGCATATCCTCAGGCTTCACTGCTGAGACCTACAAGCGAGAAGTAAGCACATGTGTCAAGATAATTGTTTAATGTTTAGATTTAAGTACAATCGTGATTTTGGAGTTAAATGTCAAAATACGCTTGAACACTTATGTAATGCGGCCAGAAACACAATGTAGCAATCCCTGAATACAACACCAAGGAATGACTCCAGGAGATATTTGGGGGGTGGCAGGTTGACACAGTGGTAACACTCGTGTGTGGAGTTCATCTGTTCTCCCCGTTCTTCTTGGGTTTCTGCTCATAACTTCAAAATATATACTATGTAACTGGTATTGGCCAAACATCCCAATGTGGAAAAATTACCTGCAAATTGCTTAATTGGGATGCACACAGCAGCAACAGCAGCACTACCGTGCATACTTGGAAGGACCCTCCTGAAAAGAGTCTTGGGACTCAGTGAGGCTTGTCAGGGTAAACAAGCATGAATAAAATAATACATATTATACCAAAATTGCATGTATGAAATGTGTGGTTTTTTATATATACAGTAGCGGGAAGTACCCGGCGTTGCCCGGGCAAAAAATATATTTAAAAAACTACTCTTAAAAACCTTATATACATACACAGATACCAAGCAATTGTGAAAGGCCGGTGGGTCGTTATGATATAAGGCTTACACTCGCACAGCTGGGAGGTCATCGAGTTTAAAGTGGCATTTCACGATGAGATACCTCAACTATTTTCAAGCATTCAGAACCGTGCAAGGCAAATCATGGATCCAATGCCAGCAAGCCTTGCCAAGTCTTGTTGACATTTCAAAAAACAAGTGGATTCATATTTTGGCCATAATCAGTTTTTCAAGGGAAACATTGCAAAACGTACAACATAACAATGAACAGTCATAACACTTCGGTTTAAGCAGCCAACATTGTGATTCATAATATATTTGTGGATTAGGCCATTCAATTATCTGTGTGCTGTACTAGTAACGAATTGGCCACGTTTTGTTTACATGATACACCTTATTAATTGGCTGTCGGGTGGTGGCAGGTTTAACGACATATTTACATGTATGCGATCTAACACAAAAAAACTATATAATATGGATATTGGTCACGAAAGCCAATGTTTTAATCCGACAAACACACTGTCTCGTGTACAAGCGTTTCTCGTGGAAATTGCCGTCGATTCATCTCACTGGTGACTTGAACACCAATCTTGACAACCAAAGTCAGCAATTAGAGATACGTGACGTTTCATTGGAAACAGTGTCAAACATCACCAGGATAAGAACCAAGCAGTCAGAATCACCGAGTCACCTGACCCAGCTTCTTAAATAGGTTTCGTGTTGGGGTCTTAACAACACGTGGCTCAACCTGAGAATCAACGTTGAATCAACGTTGAATCATGCATGTTTACGGATTCTGTAACACAGTCCAACATGCAATTGCCCTCAGAACATTTAGGGTATTTCAATGAATGTGTCTAATCCGCAATGACATATGGATAAGAATATGGCCATTAATGAGTGGAAAGTGTAAAAAGTATAGATAAATGTAAGCTTGGGATTACAATGATAGAAACAGGAACGCATGGATTCAAGGAAATATGCAGGTTACAGCATGATTCAAACTGTTACACTGCATGATTGTGAGAGGTGGTGGTGGCTTGGGAAGAGCTTCATTCAGCAGTGGATTGACCACCGTGGATTATGATAGAGTGAATAAGAAATTAACTGATATTACATTGATATGGTTTCATAATCATATACGATACCCTGTTCACAATTGTAATTTGGACTGACGGAGTTGTTATATTTCAGATTAAACTGTTTCTATTATTTTTGTAGGTTAGGTGGGTTTTCTGCCTAATTAATAGTAACTAGCTTCTTTGCCTGTTCTAGGACGGAAGCTGTAATATTTACGAAAAAATTGAGCAGAGTATCATTGTATCTTGTGCAAATTTAATTGCCGTGAATCTTGCACTAAAGTATGCCATCAAACACTTCAATGAATTTAACTGTAGCACTGTATTAATGGCAGTGAATCTGCCACAAAACGAAGTCATAAAACACTTCACTGAAGTTCACTGTATTAATGGCAGTGATTCTTGCACAAAACTACGTCATAAACGACCTCACTTCATGTCACTGTAGCACTGTATATAACTGACCTTCAATTTCTTCAAATTCACTACTCTGATACTTTATTCTCTTCTACTTTCGGTCGCTGGGGTTGAAATAAATTGGAAATCGATCAAATATCTGAAAAATCACCAAGAAATATCCATTTTACCATAATGTAGAAGCATAAATTAGATTTACCTTTCATCTCAAGTGCTAAAGAAACAAATAAAGACACCAAATCCACTTTGTTGCTGCGTAGAATTATTTATTAAATTCACTTTCAATAAAGAAACGTCAAACTTAAAGCGAATTTGCGAAAAATTGTATTTCCACTCGACCTTTTTCTGCGGGAGTGTAAAAATCCACCCGCTCATGAATATTAATGACGGGGGTGGGTGCGGCATGTGGAGTGATGTCATGCGCAGGACACACAAACAGACATTCTTGGCTCATTATAGTAGTAATTATGCTTGTCAGGAATCGAACCAAGGCTTTTCGTTGTGAGGCACAAGTGTTCCCACTGCATCACTACCTAAATTGTGAAATGCGCAAACAAAAATAACTCAAAATATTCTATGGTGCGCTGGTATCTGCTGTTTGCTTTGCTGTGCATTGGGTAGATAATAAACAAGGGGACATGTCGCATGTTAGCATCACGGCTGGATATACAAAGGTGGCTAGGTGTGCTGTGCAAAAGTCTACAAAGTCAATGGGGGACCCTGGTCATGGTGCGTGTGAAATTGATACTTTGAAAGTAGTGCAATGAGAAAATCAAGGGTGACCTACTTTCATGCGCAGCATCACACACAAGAAAGTAGGTTACCCTTCATTACAGTCACTGGTAAACAACCAAAGAGCATACTCTTTGGTTCTATTCGGTAAAGTCACGTAGGTAAAAAAATAAATCAACAAAAATCATGACGTTTCGGCCACAACACAAGCGGCCTTCATCAGGTGAAGGGATCAGACTGTCTCGAGGACAGCGCTGGAGTGAAACAGCCACGCTCAGACCGCGACCTTTAAGCTGTGTGCGAGGAAACAAGGTGCCTTGACAAAGGAATTAGCATAAAAATTAGCATTTGATTGGCCGACTTAGCATGATGAACGGTGTAGAGGTGGTGTACATGCGGGTGAACATGCCGGTTGGCGAGGGGGGGAGGGGGAGTTTACCTATTGATGGTGTGAAAAGGGAATTTTTAAGAGCTGCGAAAGTTTGGGGTACCACTACTTGAAAAATATACTGTACCATTGAAAATTAGTTTAATGTTTGGTTCGATTTAGGACATCTTTCCAATGGTTGCTTAATTTGAAACCATCTTCTCGGTTGAAATTGTGTCTGTGTTTGTAGATCTGAATTGCCTCGTGAACAAATCTCTGATAAAAAAAAAACCCGTGGGTTTGCAAAGAACCTTGGTATCGGAGAAAATTATATCGTGATCACCCACAGCGTTGTAACAGTGATCAGCTACGGCAGAAGAATTCGTTCTGCCGTGTTTCAAATCTGATTTGTGCTCGCGAATTCGGTCAGAGACATGTCGCTTTGTCTCCCCGATATAGCAATGACCGCAGGTACAACTCAATTTGTAAACCCCGGGGTACTGTAAGTCAGGAATGACATACTTCACGGATGGGATCAGATCACGAATTTTGTGTACTGTATTGAACCGGACCTGGATCTTGTGTTCGTTTAGAATTTTGGAAATCTTTTTAGTAACGCCTGCTATATATGGTAGTGTGATGCTTTTGACCGGAGTATCAAGTGGTTACATTTTGATTTAAATCTTTCGCGACTGCAGTAATTCATATTCTTAGCTCTTTACCGAAAGAGCTAAGAATATCAAGTGGATGTTTCTGTATGGAGGGAGAAACAGCTTGGCAGATGGTACGGTCAGAGTATCCATTCCTTTTGAGGGCCAGGTGTACATGTTTTAATTCACTGGTCAGGTGGTGTTGGTCCGAAATGCAATGAGCCCTATGGTATAAAGTTTTGATGAGAGAATTATTTTGGGCTGGGTGGTGGTGGGAATCAGGTTTCAAGTAGGAATCTGTGTGGGTGGGTTTCCTGTAGACAGAATGCCCCAATGAGCCATCAGGTCTCCTCTCAAACAGAACATCTAAGAATGGTAGTTTCCCATCTTTCTCCACTTCCATGGTGAATTTGATGGCGGGATGTCTGTAATTGATATGGTGTAGGAAACGGTTCAGCGCTGGGAGGCCATATGGCCAAATGACGAAAGTGTCATCCACATATCTCTTCCACATGGAAGGTCTGAGGGTGGAAGTCTGGATGGCGTCTGATTCAGATTTCTCCATGAAAATATTGGCTATCACTGGTGACAAGGGGGATCCCATGGGGGTACCCTCATTTTGTTTGTAGAAGGAGCCATTCCAAGTAAAGTAGGTATTGTTGAGGCAGTGCCTAACTAGTGCAGGTGTATCGGGGTCTAGTCCATGTTGGACCAAATTTTCAATTATTTCCATGGTATCAGGTACTGGGACCTTGGTGAACAAAGAGACCACATCGAAGCTGACAAGGATATCGTCAGGGGTCAGTACAACGTCTTTGACCATAGAGACCAATTGGGCTGAGTTAAGTACTGCTGAGGCGGTCTTGCCAGTGAAAGGCAGCAAGGTATCTGACAGAAAACAGGCTAGTCTATAGGTAGGGGAGTTGATCGTGGATACGATGGGTCGTAGTGGGGTGCCTTCTTTATGAATCTTGGGAAGAACATAGAATCTAGGGGGTCACCAGTGATAGCCAATATTTTCATGGAGAAATTTGAATCAGATGCCATCCAGACTTCCACCCTCAGACCTTCCCTGTGGAAGAGATATGTGGATGACACTTCCGTCATTTGGCCACATGGCCTCCCAGCTCTGAACCTTTTCCTACACCACATCAATTCCAGACATCCCGCC